CACAGCAACCTCTAACTCCTGGGCTCAAGCGAGTCTCCTGCCTCAGCCTCCCAAGTAGCTGGGACTACAGGAGCCCGCCACAACACCTGGCCATTTTTTGGTTGCAGCCATCGTTGTCTGGCAGGCCGGGGCTGGGGATTCGAACCCGCCACCTTAGATGTATGTGGCTGGTGCCTTAGCCACTTGAGCCACAGGCGCCGAGCCTGTGTTAGCCTCTTAAAGCACTGCATCAACTATTTATTTACTTATTATTACTTTGTTGTTATTGTTAAGACAGAGTCTCACCTGTTGCCTGGGGAGAGTGCCATAGTGTCATTGTAGCTCACAGTAACTTCATTCTTTTGGGCTCAGGTGATCCTTTTGCCTCAGTTTTTCTATTTTTAGTAGAGACTGGGATCTTGCTCTTGCTCACGCTGGTCTTGAACTCCCACCCACTTTGGTCTCCCAGAGTGCCAGATTATAGGTATGAGCCACCATCCTGGCCTGACCTGAGCATTTTAAATGTGCTGTTTTATAATCTTCACAAATACCCTATATACTATCTTATTCCTATTTTACAGACAGAGAAACTAGGGCATAGAGAATAGAGGCTAAGTAATTTACACCCAAGTCACACAACTGATAAAAAATAGTGCTAAACTCAGGCAGTCCAACTCTAGAGACCACATTCTTTACATAGCCCCTGGACATTATTAGCATGCAAACAGGTTTTTTATCCATTTAAAATAAGAACCAGGGGCAGCACCTGTGGCTCAGCTGGTAGGGCGCCAGCCCCATATACCAAGGGTGGTGGGTTCAAACCCAGCCCCGGCCAAATTGCAACAAAAAAATAGCTGGGAGTTGTGGTGGGCACCTGTAGCCCCAGCTACTTGGGAGGCTGAAGCAAGAGAATTGCCTGAGCCTAGGAGTTGGAGGTTGCTGTGAGGTGTGTGACGCCATGGCACTCAATGGAGGGCAATAAAGTGAGACTCTGTTTCTAAATAAATAAATAAAATAAATAAGCACCAGAGACTGGGCTTGGCAGTGCACACCTGTAGTCCCAGCTACTCCAGAGACTTAGGCTGGAGGATCTTTTGAGCCTAGGTGTTTAAAAGCAGCAAGACCCCATTTCTTTTTTCTTTTCTTTTTTTTCTTTTTTTTGCAGTTTTTGGCCGGGGCTGGGTTTGAACCCACCACCTCCAGCATATGGGGCCAGTGCCCAAGACCCCATTTCTTTTTTTTTTTTTTTTTTTT